ATATATATGTATGTATGACTTCATCGTGATGAGCATTTTTGTAAATGTTTTTTCAAAGACTGGAAGTTCAAATATGCTCTAATAATAATTATTATTACAATGATAATGACGCTCATGGTGATGATGGCTATGGTGGCCGTGATAATAAACTTTTTACTGGAACATCATATTTGGGTTTTCTTTTTGTCGACTTAAATGTTGCCTTAAATCCATAAGTTGCTCAAAAAAACTGAAGAAGTTGGTTGAATTCAACAGGTCTCGTTGCACAGAAAAGCTCTGACTCACCTTGCCTTGGCGCGCTGGGAGCTGTTGTTAGGGGGTCCCCCTCCTACCTACTGATCCAGAGATTTAGCTGGACTTTTTTTTTTTCACCCCTGGCTGCAAACTTTATTAGGGGGCCGATTCGGGCWCTCTGACATTTGGGTGCTAAATGAATGGGGGGTTTTGTCTTTGAATTAGATCGTAAAAATCATCCGGAGAGCGGCCAGATAGGCTCACTGGCCATAAACGGTCACGTGGTGGCCATTAAAGTAAGTTTTATGGTTTTGGGGAGTTGACAGTATATTGCACATAACATATAATCGCAGTGACGGCGAAGTCTCGTCTGACTCTCYCTGTGCAGCCTCTAAGTGTTAGTTGACCGGTGCAGACCTTTTTCTCTGGTGCTCCCCCTCAGAGTGAACCGGACGCTCGCCCAGGATGAGGAGCGCGTTTCTGGGTAAGTTTTTTTTCCAGACTAACCGGTAGCCAGAAAGCCAGAGCGCAGCCACCCCCCGTGTTAAACAGCCGTATTATTGTATTCGCTCCCTCTCTTTCCGTCCCTATTAGTCCATTACACTAATTTGTCAGTTGTGGAGTGCTGAATACTGGACTCGGCAGATGTTGCGCAGGGTTGGGTCCRGCTCATGGCTATTTAATTGCTTCCTTCCCTGTGTAACTTGTTTCCCTCCATCTGTGGTGTAATTCATAATCCATTTTTACATGTTGGATAATTATCTCTGAGTCCAGTTCCAACCCCCACAAAACTTGTCGTTTTATCTCATTGCACAGGTCACAGACCGTGAGCCAGAAATTTTCCACAGGGCTGTAGTAGATTTTGCTTGATAAAGTTAAGCGCGCGTGCAGGCCTGTAGATCTAMAGCTAGAAAAGTCTGATTGGATTATATGTGAGGGCGATTTCTTTTATTTATTTTTTTATTTTTTGGAAAGTTGTAGTTTTATCCCATGAAAATGAGATGTGTTCTTAAAAGATACTTKTTTCTGCTGCGCAGCGGGCGCTGCTCATGTTGCCACCATGGGTGGTTGTGGACTTTAGGGCAGGCTGTAAACAGTGTCAAGTAAACACGACACGGGAAGAAACAACAGCAGGAAAACATTTACAGGAATTCCGTTTTGTGTCAGTCCGGTCCTTTTTTGTGTGAKSGGGGTTGAAAMGTTCAGATGACCTCTTAGAAAAAAGTCACTCTCGCTTTGTGGTGACCTCTTGTCCGAACAGAGAAGGGGCGAGACCAGTCACCAGCAGACACTGATTCCAAAAAAATGCGTAAAATAAAAAGAAGAGAACCACATATACTAATATTTGTGTGAAAAAAAGTTTTCTTGTTTTATTTATATTTTGTTTTATTGTTAAGGTGTGTCTCAGTGCGTTCTTGGCAATCTGTATTTTTACGCACGAGTTTGTTCGCCTTTTTACGCACAAAAACGTGCGACAAAACATATAAAAAGTCAGCGTGTTGTTAGATTTAGAATAAATAAAACATATTTACTTTCTGGTCAGTGCCTGATTTTCTTTTCCTGGAGCAGAAATATCAAATTTAGACACCCTGATTGCAAAAATACACGAATATCAAGGTTTTACTTTTTGGTTTTGTTGTTTTCGACAAAAGAGAATTCTTGGACGGTTTACTTTACCTTTACTTTAAATTTGTGTTAATTAAGTTAGTGTGAAACAAATGTATCATTTCTGAACTTTACTTAAAATACTTTGACCACAAAGATGGATCAATTAGCTCTCGACTGAAAATACTTATTAGAAGTTTAAAGCTTTGCACATTCGAGTGGAGGTGGCRCCTTTGTATTGGCTTGATTTTAGCAATCCATTGTTTTTTATGTAGAATAAAATAAAATGTTTTAACCCTTCCAGATGCAGAATAACACACCGAGAGAATCCTATTGATTTTCAAASGTGCAGCCTTATGTATGAACTAGAAACAGAATCAAACCAAATCACGACGTTTTGTTYTTTCTTGCTTCATTTTGCGCTGACTGAAAAATACAACAGGACGTGCTGAGGGGTGCGGATAGTTGGACCTGAAACCCCTTGCCAATATTTCAAAAAGGAGACATTTCGACAGGGCCCCATGTGCGGCGCGCTGCCAGGCAGATAGAGGGAGAGAGGGGAGAGCGCTGCGCAGGTTCATCTGGAGGTCACKAAGATGAATCTGCATCCTCTCGGAGCCACCAGCAGAGCTCGCTTTAGGCCAAGTTCACTGTCACTCTGTTGCACGGAGAGCGAGGGGAAGAACAAAAAACAATATATTTCAAGCAAACCAACCCAAAAAAAAAAAAAAAAAAACTGCACGTAGTGCACTCAAATTAATGACAGGTTCGTTTTTGGTGAGCCTGTGAGCACAAAGCACGGAGAGGAGCCCGTGGAGGGACAGAGTGCGTGAAGGGAGAGAGTGGGAGTGAAACCTGAAGAGTTGCCTCCAACAAAGACAGCTTCCTCCTCTGCTCTGCTCTGACTCTAATGAATGATTTGCATATTTTACGGCCCCACCAGCCTTGAGCTAGATGCTGCTGTCACAGGAAACAACACCAAAGACACGATTGCATTCGGCGCTGGCATCTCATCTGCTTATCGAATTTGTGAAAATGACAATTAGTATTGCAAGAAAACTTTTTTTTAAAGMAGGGGAGTAATGCAAGGGGTTATGGTGGAGGCAGATATCTCTCTCTCTCTGGGACTGGGACTGATGAGGGAGAGATAGYTGCAGAAGAGGAGGAAAAATTGGGGTCAAAAGTTTAGACGCTGAACAAGCCTCCGTCATCTGTTCTCTCGCCTTATAATAGCGATCTTGACTCTCCACACAAAAGGCAGAATAGCTTTGCATTACATATGTTGCACGGTGCACTCCAGGTGAACCCTGGAAGCGCAACGACCTCGCGTTTGGGACCGAGGAAAGGCTGCGCGGGGAGGGTGAAGCGCTCCCTCTCCAACCCCCTCCTTCCAAGCAACAAGATTGAGTGGCTGGCGTTTTATTAGGGCGGTTGATTGGTGAATTTCCTTTGAATAAATTGCATTTGATATGTTTAGGGACGAGGGCAAAATTTGCATTTGGAGGATTGATACTCTCGACCCGGTCACAGGGTAATGAGAAGGCCCACAGCCGCGCGCCCCCACCCCTCCAGAATGAGCCCCCCAGATCCCTTAAAAAACATTTAGCCCCTCTCTTTCTGATCGGCTGAATAGAATCCTTTTCAAAACTAGAAATGGCACAGATGTTTTCCCTGCGCGTGATGAAGCGCTAAAAAAACATCAGATTTTTGAACCCGAAATGTCAGGTCTCTAACTGACTTTTCACGAGGCCTAAAATACTAAAAAAATATATATATTTATTTAATAAATCCAATAAAAAAGCAAAAATTTAAAAGGGAGTGAAATAATTGAAAAAATTAAAAAGGCATTCAGAACAAAAGCATAATGTTGGATTAATTTTTATTCTGACACGCAACAAAGAACAAACATTACAACACATTTATTTAACGCTCAGAAACAACAAATACTAATTTGACTGAACTCGGAGCTACCCACGTGCGACACAAATCATCTCAAAAGAACAAAAACATTCAGAAGTGATTCGATCCGAGAAACTTTTATTGTCAGTTTGGATTGAATGGATAAAAAAAAGAAAAAAAAGCAGATTTTATTAATGTTCATCATATTTTGCGTATTTCAGCACCTTATATCTGTGACCAAACATTATAATCCTGCTCAAACATATTTGAAACCAGAYTAAAAACTTACTTTTCTTTCTTTAATCTGGTTTATTTGACCTGAATTAGAATTTTAGATGTGTTTAATGCAAAGTTTACATTTCTGTCGGAGCAATTTTGCTGATTTATGTATTTTTTATTTAAAATTTTATATTTGTCTGACTGCTGTTTTTGTATATTGGGAATAAAATGTTCCAAAGTATTTAAACAGGTGTTTGCAGGGATTTTACGCATGAATTCTAGATATTAGTTTTTATTATTTACACAGCTCCTGAATATTGTTTTTGGTTTATTATGTGGGTTTTTCATCAACATGCAGCTTGTGGAAAACAGTTTAGGGGTCGCATTGGCTATTTTCCTCCATTATTAGTGGTGAGAATAATCTTAATGTAAAAGGAGAAAAAGGCAGTTTTATCAGTTAACTCAAACCGCAGTGTTTTTTTAAGGCAGTTTTATCAGTTAACTCAAACCGCAGTGTTTTTTTTTTAATAAAAGCATGAAGTGTGTGTGTGGTGTGTGGTGTGTGGTGTGTGTTTTCCTTAGCTCGGATCCTTGGCACATATCGGATGTTTTGCTCCGCCGTTCTTCACAGCTCCACACACCCAGACAGGAGACCTTGTGAGCGCCATCTGCAATCTGTCACCATCGTCGCAGCACTTCTCTGATAATCTAAATTTACAGTAAACTGTCAGCATGATGTATGCCGCCTAACTAGACCTTCACTCTGCTGCGCGCGCGCTCAAATCCCAGCCACGCTGCCGTATTTTCTCCCCTCACCATGCAACATGCATTCAAAATCTGTTGGGGGATGACTAAAATAGTGTGCCTATTTCTACAAACTAACGCTTAGTGGTCTCCTATGTCAGATAAGTGCTGTTTTGGTGCGTTTTGGTGAGGCACGCGTCGATGTTTTCAGGAGCCACTGCACCCAAACGCGCCATTCTGCAGGCCTGGGTCATGATAACAGGTAATTCCAGGGCTGTTATCTATAAAGAGGGTTTGTTTCTGACGCACTGAATTCTTTACTCGTAGTGGTGATGCATTTTAAAGAAACTCGCGCAGGCCTCAATATAAAAAGAAATCTCAGCAACAAGTAGAAGAACTGGTAAAACGCATCGCAGCTATCTATACCCGCAAGGTTCGTTTACAGTGAGTGGATAATAGCCGAGCTGACCCAGACTGTATTTATACACTAAAGGAATGGCAGCAGAGTGTGAATTTAGATGTCACGTAAAGTCGTCTTACCCGCTGACAATATGGTGACACATTGCCTCTCAGGTGGTCCTCTTTGGCCGCGCGGATACAGTGACACTCCTGAGCTTTTACAATCAGTTAGAAGCCTCGCAGTAAGGCTGCTTGTATGAAATATGGTAAAAACAAACAAAAAAGGAGACCAGTCAGTCATTCTAACCTAAAATCTATGAGTTTTTTTTCCCACGATAACTCCCAAAACAACAATAACAACAACAAAAAAAGAAAAATGTCCACTTTTACGCACAGATGTTTTGCGTCGAAGCTTCTTATAGTTCCAAGTCTTTTGCAAAGTTTTAAGAAAAAAAAAAGACCCACCCGGGAAGTTGACCCGCGCAAAGTGTCCCCCCCTCCCCCCCACCCCCTGTATCTCCCCAGAGTTTAACAGAGCCTGCAAAAACTGAAGTCCAAGTCCGGGGTGAACCCCAGGTCACCGCGTCTAACAGATATGAAAATGTCGCCTCTTTGCAAGGAGAGAGGAAAAAAAAAGAGGGGGCACGCCTTGTTGTTTAACAAAGACTGTCAATGGGCAAGATTAATAAGAAACAAAATGGAAACGGTGTCACCTCGGGGTCAGGCAGAAGTTATCTCTGTGTGTAGGGGAGCGAAAAGAATAGGGAGGCTGAGCTGAGGAGGGGGAGACACACACACACACATACACACACACATACAAAAAGTAGAAGAATGAAAGAAAGAAATAGGCGAGATGAGAAAGCTTTTCAATATTTTCCGTTAAGTTTGGCCCCTTTGGTTCTGCTTGCAGAGGCCTTGGCTGGAGAGGGCAGAGTGGATCAGATGTGTGTGAGGAGGAGCTGCTGCTGCTGCAGAATCCTGCAGGAAACACGGACACCGCGTGCCACCTCGGTCGTGGAGAGGAAACTGGACGTGATGACGGCTGGCAGAGCGCACGGTCAGAGACTTTTAGATCCTCTAAACATGCAGAAACTCAACATGCGAGTTTGGTGGAGTTTCACTGAAATACATGACATAAAAAGAAAAAAAGAAAAAAAGATGGATAAAAGGGAAATAATGAGGATGATATTCTTTAATTTACTACTAATTACTTTAATTTGTTATTATCACTATATTATTATTACTAATAATATTATTAATATTACTATTAAAATTAATATTAATATTTTTACTACCATTATTAGTATCATTGTCCTCTTTTATATTATTCTGACATGCATTTAAAGTGGCAGCAGGTGTTTTAGAATAAAACAAWTATTTTCTTGTACTCATGTGTTTCCTGTTCTTCAAAATGATTTTTTATGTTAACTCAAATGCTAAACAAATTTAGGACTTAAATTTGAGATAAATGTCGCACAGATTGATTCAAGCTGCTGCCACGTGCTTTGTGCTGCAATCAGATATTTGTGTTGGCATCAGGCTGTAATGCAGAGCAGGTGTACCCGAGTGTTTGTCCGATGGTTGTGTGCTTTTTAATACCCAGTGGTGCAAGCAGTGTGGCTTTTAGCACCAAGTGTTGTACTATATGTGTATGATATGTGTGTTTTATTTTAAATGATGCCAGGTTGCGGTTTTGTTCTTGAAAGCATTGCTGAATTTATGGCAAAATCACGTATCAAAAAAAGCTGGTGTTTGCATGTGATTCGTGCGTTTGAAGAAATGTGAATTGTGCTGCTTGAGAAAGAGGAATCAGTCCTGATTTTTAAAGATGCACGAGCTTTTCAGGCTTTGCGAACACGTGCATGTCCGCAGAGGAGCGACACATCCTTGCACCAGAACACGAGCACTCAATCCTTCTGATTGAAATAGTCTGAAAAAAAAAAACATTTATTGTTTTGCTTCTTATCTGTATCTTTATAACATGCAACAGATTTCTCATAGTCTGAGTTTTATGTTTGTAATAGGAGGTGTTTAGTTTGTGAGCAGCCCCCCTACATCCCCCCCTCCCTCTCAGGACTCCCACTCTGTGTTTCACATGAGGAGCAGAGCCTCACCCACACAAGTTTGGCTCCACGCAGTAAACAACTTTGTTGATCAGATTTTTTCCCCGCTTTTTTATACTCTAATTTAATAAGGAAAACGCCAACGTAAGCCAGTCCGCGCGCTGCTGCTGGTGCCGGTGCCATGCTTTCCATTGGTTCCTGTTTACAAGATGCCCACAGGACACGCGGTGATTGGTGGGTCCTCGCACGTGACCAGACAACTTTGTACATTTGACAGGGGAGTAGGAGGGTTTTGTGGAGATCAGAAAAACGACAGCGCGATAAAAATTAGCATTGTTGCACTTCACAAATTAATGACCATGAGTTCCTACTTGATAAACTCCAACTACATCGAGCCTTCCTTCCCACCGTGCGACGAGTACCAGCAGAGCGGATACATCCCCAGCCATGGTGATTACTACGAGCGGCCAAAAGATACGGGCTTCCCCCATCACGACGAGGCAACCTATCCGAGGTCAAACTACACGGAGACGGGCTACGATTACGGCAACGTTCCCGCCGCGGCCGGGCTCGACGACTTCGGCGACGGGCACCACGCACAGCCGCAGCCGGTTCCACAGAGCCACGGTCCTCGCCTCTCCGCGGCGCCAGACGGTGGCGCAGGGGCCAATGGCAGCAAAGACTGCAGCCTCGCCGGTGAGGTGTATCCCGGCGTGGCGAAGGGCAAGGAGCCGGTGGTCTATCCGTGGATGAAAAAGGTCCACGTTAGCAACGGTGAGTTATAAGCACACAGCCGAGCCCCGGCGAAAGAACAGCCACTGGAACACACGCGAGCCAATTCAGGCAGCGCTAGTAGCAGCCCTTACAGCGGCAATTTACGACTATCGAGCAGCAGGGTCGGTAATTAAGGACCCTCGTAAATTTTATTGCCTGTGTTCGTCTGTCGGGGCCGTGCGCCTTTGTTGCTTTTTAACCCAAACTACCTCGAACCACTGGAGTCGAGCCAAACTGTTATATTCCGCCCTGCTGTTTTGTTAATCATTCCTAAAGCTTGATTTGTCCCTGGATGAGAGCGCGCGTGCATCTCCACGCCAGGGTCAAGCAAACAAAAACGGCTGCATCAAACCAGAAGAAGTGCTGTCATTTGGATTTTTGCACTAATGTGTCCAGTGGCTCAAATATTTGCAGAAAAAATACGGAATAAATCAACCTGCATGTAACACCTGCCTGTGCGTACATGCGTGTGTGTTTGTGTGTGTGGATGTGTGTGTGTGGCTTCTTTCTTTTCCCTCCMAGTCAATGCCAATTACAATGGAGGAGTGCCCAAGAGGTCTCGCACTGCCTACACCCGCCAGCAGGCTCTGGAGCTGGAGAAGGAGTTCCACTTCAACCGCTACCTGACCCGGCGCAGGCGGGTGGAGATCGCGCACACCATGTGCCTGTCGGAGCGCCAGGTCAAGATCTGGTTCCAGAACCGGAGGATGAAGTGGAAAAAGGAGCACAAGCTTCCCAACACTAAGATCCGCTCGTCCAGCTCGGCCTCAGCCTCCGGTGCCCAACAACAACAACAACAACAGCAGCAACAACAACAACAACAGCAGCAGCAGATTAAAACAGGCCAGCAGCTCGTCCCCACGCCGTGCACTGCAGGTCTATAGTGCACAGATGAACCCCCTTATCCCCTCCTCTGAATTAAACACCCCCCTCCTTGAAAATCCAGACTGAGATGGAAAACAACACAAGTGGAATTTGAAGGACCGATTTTCAGTATTTTACACACACATGGTGTTATCTTTGTTGCACATTTGGGCCTCTGCCATGTCCTTTGTACCCCTTTCCCCCTCCGCGGTCGTCCTCTTCATATAAGCTTGAAAATCACATTTAATTGCCACGATGGCAACTGAAGTGTTCATATATTTGTTTATTATGGGGAAAAAAAAGAAGAAAACAATTATCCAACGCACATTCATAGGACTTGGAGCAGAGTGTATCCACTACATTTAAAAAAAAAGTGAGGTGAAAGTAAGTTTGAGCTCGTTTTTCTATTATTTAGATTTTTTTCCCTGTTTTGTTTATTGCTTACGGAAATTTCTAATATACTTGAAAGATATTTAGCGAGGCTCAGTGTTAGAAAAACCGCTCGGGCTCTTTTTTATTTTTTATTTTTTGGCAGAAGAGCTGTGTTTTAGTTCGTGTGTTTGAGTGGTTTTACTGTTGAATGTAGTCCAGGTGACTTCTACATCTTCTGTACATAGACAAATCTAATGAAGGCACAACGAGGAGAAGCGTTTCGTCCACTTTGTTGGTGTCGTAGTTTCATTTTTGTGCTCTGTAGTGCGTCCGATGTTGTGCTGTGTTCTAAACTGTGAATATTTGTATGTGTTGTCTCAGTAAAGACCGTTGTAATGTAGGCTAGTGTAGGTTCAATCTGTCCTTGTGAAATAAAAGATGTGCTTCCCTTACGAGGCTGACGGTTTTGGATGTTTTTGTCATTGCCAGGATTGATTTGACTTGAGCGCRACAGCCTCTTGTTTACACGCTCATTGTGCCTCATTTAAAAAAAAAGTTCATCCGTCATTTTAAAGATTRCATTTTTGCATAATGCATGTGAATAAAAAAAAACAAAAAATCTTTTGTAGTCAAATCTTGAGCGCGTAAATCTCCGTGCGTAATTCTGAGCGAAACGATCGAACCTTGTGCGTTTTGCAAAAGTTTTATTTTATTTCACTTTGCTTTTTATGGTTGTAAAATATTCCTATTTTATAATGTTTGCAGACATTTTTGCTATGAGGGAATATACATATTGTTGCGTTTGTCTTCATAAACGAAGATCTTAACCGGAGATATGAAGTCATTAACGCGTAAATCTCTCCAAAACTAAGTTTAATCCATTACGCACGTGATAAAACGCATATTTGTCAGACCCTGTTGCGGTTTTCATCGCTCACTTAACCTTAATCCAAATCCATGTGGGTTTCATGCGCATTTTCTTGGATTACCATGAGCTGAAGAAGCATATGAGGTTACTTCTTATGTAGGCGAAACGGATTCATTAATTCTACCCTGATAAAACTAATTCTATTTTATTTTATTTTGTCATTATAAGAAAATTTGAACCAAGTTTGGATCACCAGAGTGTGAGTGTTGGTCACTACCTGCCCCATCCAAACAATGAGAGGGTTCAGCTAAGGGACACGGACGGCTCTGGCCAATCAGGGCCTCGGAGCACTTCTCCTGACCCCTGACCTTTCGACACACACAGTGTCCAGACCATACATCAGCCCTGAGACCTCCGTCAGTCCTTTTTCTCATCCCGTCTGAGGTTTACCCAGAAACCGCGTGGAAACAATAACTGTGTTTAAGTGTGAAACTGAGCCCAAAATGACTCGGAGAGACATGCTTTACTGCAGATTATCACAGAGACGCTGCTGGCAGGCCCAGAGGAGAGGGCAGGAACATGCTGGGATCTTCATGTTCTGGTGTAAGCTATAATTTTAGGCACATGTTGGCATTGTTGATTTAAACTCGAGGATTATGTCAACACGTCAATAATTAATGGCTTTACAAGGCACACAGTTGTAAATGAGCTTTATTAGATGAACAAACAAATAAAAAAACACCAAGTATACGAAGTGACAGACACATGGAGTTGTTTAAGAGGCAGCTTGTGTAGATTTTGCAAATATTTCATGCAGCAAAACAGAAAAAAATCATGTGGGGAGATGGCTTTGAAGCTGATTGGCACCAGCTTTGCTCCGACTCCCCAAAACGTCCAACTATAGTTCAATGAACTGCAGATTTCATGTCATACTGTACGATTCGAAAATAGAGGTCACTTTCARAGTGCTGAAATTTTAATTCTCTGCTTCACGTGACTCGCTGAATAATGAATGTCCCGGGGGGCTCAGAAATAGATCTGAAAATCTGACTGATTTTCATTTGAAGTGATGCTCTGCAGGAGTCAGATCTGCTCTCCTCTGACAGAACTCTGGACACACTGTCATGACTTGTGAGTAAATTTGGTGTTTTTTTTTATTATTTTGTATTGCTGGAAGCAAGTTTAGCATCAAATCAGATCTGTTATAATGTTTTGATGTGTATTATGTAGTAATTCTGTCAAATCTTTGCTCCTGTGTGCAGGTATTGTCTTGATATATGATAGACACTTATGAGATTCTTGTATGTCTTATAAGAGAAAAACAAAAACAATAAAAAGGCAAAACAGAGTCAACTATAAACAGTTGTTAAAAAGCTACAATAAAAATAAGAATGCAATAAATTTGTGTGAACATTTGTAATTTGAATAAGTTTTATTACTGGATTTATTGAAAAGCAAAAGAAAATAAAAATAGTTGTAACTTTTTTTTCAAATGTTGCATATCTTTTAAATACCTGAACTAAAAATAGGAAATATTATCTGTACTAAAGGCATCTTTTATTTGTTAAATCCTCTTAAGAAACTGAACTCTTATATTGTTGACTGTTGTTTACATTAACACTAACACGCGTTAAAAACAATTTCTCTTAAATTTAGATTATTTTTTCCCCAAAACCGTACATTTCTTCTACCTAAACTGTACGAAAACTGCACCAGACACATTTTTTTCTAAATATTATTTTATTGTTTTAAAGCCTAGGGAGAAATAAAGTAGAAACTTATAATTTTCTGCAATTTTTATTATTCAACCATGTGTTCAAAAATAAAATAGACAACTTTTTTATATAAAATAACGGTTTAAATGAAGGCTTAATGTGATTAAAAAGGTAATATTAATTTTAAAAGTGCAGCTTTGAGCGTAAAAGAGTTAAAAGAGCAGTGTGGGTGTCACAAAAAAGACAATTTGGGGATATTTAATGTGATTATTAC